GGAGCTGGAGGCACTGCGCGGCACGGAGGAGAAGTATAAGGAGCAGTGCCACTCCATGGAGGAGCTGCAGTCGGAGCTGGAGGCACTGCGCGGCGCGGAGGAGAAGTATAAGGAGCAGTGCCACTCCATGGAGGAGATGCAGTCGGAGCTGGAGGCACTGCGCGACGCCGAGGAGAAGTATAAGGAGCAGTGCCACTCCATGGAGGAGATGCAGTCGGAGCTGAAAGCACTTCGTCTTCGTGTGCTGGCGTTGGAATATCAGCATCACATTGTGGAGGAGATGCAGTCCGAGATGCAAGCACTGCAGCACCGTATTGAGCAATTAGAGGTTCATCGCTACTCTGTTAAAGAGCTTCAGTTAGAAGTGGAGACATCACGTCAACTAGGTATTGAAGACGAGGAGGAGGCCCACTCTTTTGAGCAGATACATTTGGATCTGGAAGCACTGCGTCACACCGAGGAGAAGTATAAGGAGCAGTGCCATTCCATGGAGGTGCTGAAGTCACAATTGGAGGCACCTGGGAAGCAAGAGAAGGAATTTGAAGAGCAGACGCACTCTATGCAGGAGCTACTGTCTGAGCTGAAGGGCCTTCGTAAACGAGAGAAGGAATACGAAGAGCACTGGCATTCTATGCAGGTTCTGAAGTCCGAGCTTGAGGCCCTCCGTCAACGAGAGAAGGAATATGAGGAGCTTTGCCACTCTATGGAGGAGAAGCAGTCAGAGCTGGAGACATTGCGTCAGCGAGAGAAAGAATTCGAGCAACAGCCACATTCTATACAGGACGTACTGTGTGAGCTGGAGGCACTGCGTCAGCGAGAGAAGGAATACGAAGAGCAGCTCCGCTCTGTGGAAGAACTGCAGTCGGAGCTGGAGGCACTGCGTCAGCGAGAGAAGGAATCCGAAGAGCAGCTCCGCTCTGTGGAAGAACTGCAGTCGGAGCTGGAGGCACTGCGTCAGCGAGAGAAGGAATCCGAAGAGCAGCTCCGCTCTGTGGAAGAACTGCAGTCGGAGCTGGAGGCGTCGCGTAACCGAGAGAAGGATTTTGAGGAACAACTCCACTGCATGGAGGAGCTGCAGTCGGAGCTGGAGGCATNGTGTCTCTTCTTGAGGCTGAGGTGTCAAGGGTGGCGTCTGACGCGAAAAGAAGGGAGGAGTTTATAAAGCAGAAGACACGGGATATTGTTGCTGCTGTGAAGGAGGAATACCGCGACAAGCAGCCGTGCGAGCCGGTAGAGACGGCGGTGCGTGGGTTGCAGCCAGCTGGCTTGTCGGGCGATGCGGATCTAGAGGCCTTACGCCACTCTATGCAGCAGCTGCAGTCGGAGCTGGAGGCATCGCGTAAGCGGGAGAAGGAATCCGAAGAGCAGCTCCGCTCTGTGGAAGAACTGCAGTCGGAGCTGGAGGCACTTCGTCAGCGAGAGAAGGAATCCGAAGAGCAGCTCCGCTCTGTGGAAGAACTGCAGTCGGAGCTGGAGGCACTGCGTCAGCGAGAGAAGGAATCCGAAGAGCAGCTCCGCTCTGTGGAAGAACTGCAGTCGGAGCTGGAGGCACTGCGTCAGCGAGAGAAGGAATCCGAAGAGCAGCTCCGCTCTGTGGAAGAACTGCAGTCGGAGCTGGAGGCGGCACGCACAGGTGAGAGAGATATTCAAGCGCGGGTGTCTCTTCTTGAGGCTGAGGTGTCAAGGGTGGCGTCTGACGCGAAAAGAAGGGAGGAGTTTATAAAGCAGAAGACACGGGATATTGTTGCTGCTGTGAAGGAGGAATACCGCGACAAGCAGCCGTGCGAGCCGGTAGAGACGGCGGT